TTGATTTGAAGATTTGCCACATTTTCCAGGATGTTGTAACATGTTTTTGGACATGTTGATCTTTTTCTTCTTTTCAGAAGGAAATAACTTTTCTTCTGCCACTCTTCTTACTTTATTATCATATTGATGATAAACTCTGATATTTTTATCCTCTTTCACCATATTTATGAAATCTGTCAAGTTAACAATTTTGGAATTTAAACATGTTACCTCACTTTGTAGATGAGACATAATACTTAAGAGTTGCTTCTTCTCATTCTTCAAGTCAACAATGATCTTCCTTTGTTCTTCCTATTTCTTGAGGATTTCATCACATATGTCACACGTCTCCTTTTATGACACATCCAGATCTTCATAAAGATCATTCTCATCACAAACTTCAACTTCATCTGCCCATCTGCCAGATAGATCCAACAAAAATTTGGCAGTCTCAGAATTATCTCCATATTCTGACTTATCATCATCAGACCAAGATGTAGTGAAACTCTTCTGCTATTTGTTGAGGAAGTTGGTACATTCAGGTCTAATATTATCATATCATTCATATTCAAAACATTGAATGCCTCTACTTTGACTTGACTTCTCTTCTGTTCTTGTTTTCTTCTGAGAATAAGGGTTGTTAGTGATATCATATGAGTTGTTCTTGACATCTGGTTTCCCTCTTATGTCCAATCTTTTTAACTCTCTATTGAATTGCTTCTCAAGTAGCACATAGTATTAGGCAGATCCTCATCAGTGTCCAACTCAACTTGACTTTTCTCATCTCCAGCACTGGATACAAAAGTTATGCATTTGTTCTTTTTCTCAGTCTTTTCACCAATAGCCAACTAAAATGTTTGAAGTGACCCAATAAGCTCATCAACTCTCAAGTTGTTGATGTCCTGAGCTTCTTCAATAGTTGTAACCTCCGTGTCAAATCTCCTAGGTAAGGACCTAAGAATCTTTCTGACCAGCTTTGCTTCGAACATTTTCTCTCCCAAGGCACTTAATGCACTAGCAATTTCAAGAATCTTCATATGATATTTCTGAATTATCTCATCATTATTCATCTTCAGGTTCTCAAATTTAGAAGTGAGAAGCTGGAGTCTTGAAATCTTCACTTTAGAGGCACATTCATAAGTTGTCTTGAGAATTTCCCAAGCATCCTTGGCTACAGTACATATATTAATCATCCTGAAAACATTTGTCTACTCTATTGAATAGAGCATTTAAAGTCTTAGAATTTTCAATGGCTTCTTTGTCATCATTTTAATCCCAGTCTTCTTCAGGTTTCATAGATTCTTTTCCATCTTTGTCCTTCAAAACTGGATACTCACATCCTTTTAAAATAGCCTTCCAAACTTTACAATCCATAGATTTTAGAAAGGCTACCATTCTGACCTTCCACCAGTCATAGTTAGAACCATCCAATATGGGTGGTCTGTTGTTGTATCCTCCTTCTTTCTCCATAGTGCCAGAAAGTATCCTTGGATCTCACCCAATAACAGAACAAAGTGTCTGCTCTTAATGCCAATTGAAATTTTGGCACACACAATATTAGAAGTCAAGACTGATGTCTTAATAACACACAATATCATGATAGATGTCATAACATATGCCGACAGAAAACAGACTTGCTAAAACAGAAAGATTGTGAAGAAAAATAAATTTGCTAAAATTTAAAGAACACGATCAATTGTTAACCAGTTTGGTGCAACTCACCTACTATGGGGACTAGGCCAAGAAGGAAATCCACTATTAGTAGTATCAAGTCGAAGCTAAACAATCTCAGTTTACACTTCTCACTTAATCCATATCCACAATAACTTATACCTAGAAACCTTTTAAATATGAGAACCCCTATCACTCTGAATCACCGCAGAGATTTTAAACAATCTCAGTCCCAGGAAATGTTTCAAGAAACCAAAATGAAAAACACTTTTCCAAAACAAAATACTTAGTTTGCTTAAAAAAGCTTCATTAAGAACAATACTCAACTCTTTGCTTAAAAGCTTAAAGGAGAACAATAACTTGATAAACAAGTAACAATCAGTCAACTCAAATGCATCAAAAGATACATGAGAACGTACAAAAAACACACGGAAAACCTAAAGAACTATCAAACCCTAAATCCTTATTTTTCACAAGATTTTACAATAAAACTATGTTACTTAAAAAACTAGGTCTTGGACGACTCCTTATATAGACTTTTGCAGTTGGGCTTTGACTCTTCAATCAAATATAATCTTCAATTCTAAATCCCTGCAGAATCTTCTCCACAAAAATAGAAACAAAAAATTCTTTCAAATATTTCTTAAAAAATCTCAAAGATTCTTTTTATAAAACAAATCAAATCTGCAATTTTCCGAAAAATTCTTGATTGTCTGCGCCTGTTATGAGTACTAGGAACCTCCAGAATCTCATATTTTTCAATCGAATCTTCAAGGATATTATCCAGTTGTACTATTATAATGTTCTGTTGCAAAAGGGTACTTACCTGTGAACCCCATGCAAGCCTAAACCTAAGGGATTATTGTTCTTTGCTTATATATTTGTGCATAAACATCATGACATCATACCATGGCATTTTTCATTAACCATTTCAAGGACCTAGAGATTTATTTTGTTCTGTTTTGTAGGACATGACTCCCACTCGAAGAAATACTATCCAAGTCAACCTCGTAAGAGTACCTCCTCAAGTAAAAGAATTAGAATCAAGTGTTCTTGGGAATTCTTCATTTACCGAGAGACATGGGCGACTTCTCAACATGGTCACTTCAAGTTATGATGAAGACATAATGAAAGTACTTTTCCAATTCTTCGACCCCTTGCACCATTGCTTTAACTTTCCTGATTACCAGCTTGTTCCCACTATGGAAGAATTTTCTCGACTCTTGGAGATCCCTATCCTTGACCAACTACCCTTCAACGGTATTGAAAGAGACCCACGACCTGAGGTTATTGCTCGAGCTTTACATTTGCAACGATCTGATGTTACGGCTAATTGGGAAACGAGAAGTGGCGTCAAAGGTTTTTTGGCTAAGTTTTTATTTGATAGAGCATATCTGATAGAGCATCTGTCAAATAAGTACTATCAACAGACTTTGTTATACCAGTTGGTCAAGATGTTATGACATATTGCTTAACATTAGGTTGCAATACATGTTTTTTCCAATGAAATGTGTTTTGATAAAATTGTTGTCAACTCCTTGTTTTACCAAAATTGTTGCCAACCATAAAATCACAGACCTAACACTTGAATTTTGCTTCATTCACCGTTTTCTTGATCTTTTTCTTAACGTTCTTATATTTTCCCCAAGTTTACACGTAGATCATTTTTAAAACATTAATTTTTTACTCAAAACACTTTCATTCCACCACCATGATTCTTTACCTTTAGGTTCAAAACCTCTTGATACTCTCAACGTCTCTTTAACTACTTTTCTGATCTCGTGTCAACTTGTTCTCCGTATCATTTGCACTTCCTTGTATATGTCTGAACTCTCCCTCCAAAATATTTTGTTGAAAACTCCAATGTTTTTCAACCTTCAAATGACACCACTTGACCTGTTGAGCTCTCATATGATTTTTTTCCTCTTCGTTTTCCTCTTGACTCTTTCATCTTTGATCAATCAAATATGTTAGATAGTCAAACTCTACAAATATTACAGTTACACGAATCTTTTGTGCATCTCTTTTTCTAAAATATTCATGTAGAGATAGGGGTGTTCAAAATCGACCTGATCCAATAGAAAATCGAACCAAACAAAATTGAAATCACAAAAAACTATATTTGATTCGGATAAATTTGAATCATTTTTAATAAAACTGCATGGTTTGATTTGGTTTACAGATTGTATTTTACAAACCGAACAAAAGCGAACTAAACTGCATTATGTTACAATCCAAATTTCACTTAATCCACATTCAACCCAAACTTAGGCTTATTATGCATTAACTTTACGATTACGAATAATTTTCTCTTCCTCGCGCTTAAGATTACAATTTAAATCTTCTCAAATCTCTCCTAACAGCATACACCTTCTTTTCCATATACATTTCCCATATTCTTCTCTAGTCTCTCTTCTCTTAAGTTCTTTCTTTTTCATCTTATTTTTGTTCTAATGATAAATCTTACAATTACAATTTTAATACATCTTATTTTTCTTGTTCTCTAATATTTCATCTCCTTTGTTTTTTATATTTCATTTTAATGTTTTTGATATTGTTTTATGCTACAGTTTTATGTTTTTAATTCTATTTTTCTCTAATCTTATTTGTTGTATATCTAATAGAATGTTATTGTCTAAATATGATAAATTTTATTGTTATTTGATAACACATAAATAACTAAATACAAAACTATATTATCATCTCTAAGTGTGTGACTCAATAAATTTTTCATAAAAAAACAAATCAACCCAAACCGCATTAATTTAATTGATTTGATTCAATTTTATTTTTAAAAGTCAATCAAATCAATCGGAACCACGTTTTTTTTCTTTAGTTCGAATAACTTTTTACATCAATTCGACCATGAATTGCATTTGATTGACTTTTTACGTCAATTCAGCCATGAAATGTGTGGATTAAAGTAAAATAAAGTATCATCTTTTGAATTATTTAAATTTTGATAGACCATAGTAAAATAAAGTGACAAATCTCACCTCTTCCTATCATTACCACCGTTTTTCTTTTCTAATCTGCTCCATTTGTATCCGAACAGGCATAAAGAATAATCTCCAAAAAATTTATATCACAATAATTTTTAAAATTAAAAGAACTAATTTAAATGACCAAACATTTGCCTAAAGTTGAGACTTTAAGTAACTTTAATGTAAAAATTTTAATTTTCAAAAACAGAAGACAAATTATTCATCCGAACAAGATATGATATCGTTACATTCCACAAGAAAAGTAACCGACTGTAATTAACAGAAGACAACCATACCACATGTTAAGGTATATAAAAACAATTCCACATAAACGAACTTAGGTTTATGGATCCATAAATGAAGTTACTATGTCCTCATTCTGCTACTTTCTGCTGCCCTTACCTGAGAGAAATAGGGATGTGCCTACAGGATACACAAGAAAACAAAACGTTACATCAACAAGATCATAATGTATTAATGCAAATATCAGAAGAACCGTGTTAAGTGATTAAATGAATTCTTTATTATTACCATTGCTTCTCTTGCTGTTAGCCTGTCCTGGTGGTCATAACGAAGGAGCTTATCAAGAAAATCGATTGCCTGCATATAGAATGTTGAAATATTTATAATCCACATGAGAATTGTTAAATTTCCGAATAAACCAAGTGCTAGGTCCCAATGCCATGATAAAAAATGAATTAAATGACCTCTGGAGATACAAGATGCTGATTGTCCGCATTGATAAATTTAGACCAAGGTTTGCGACTGTGCCTGTAAAAGGAAATAGCATAACATGAACAAGTAGGTAAATTGGGAAGCGGTAATATTTATTCATATACCTACCTATCAAGTCAAAATAAAAGCAAAAAACTTCTTAGGGAAGACTAAGGGAGGCACTATTGCATTGTCATGGAAGATATTTTAACAAATTTGCTATGGCATTAAGAAAATGAAATAGAAAATGATACCTTCCAACCAGTGCATCAAGTTGAGGATCTAGCTCAAGATGATACTTATTCAGATATGCACTCAGTTCATCAGTCCCAAGCACCTGCATAATACCACATACAAATGAAAAGAAAAATGAAGCTTTAAAGACCCATAAACTAATATCCGTAAAGGATCATATCTTTTGTTGGAGAGAGAGGGCACTAGTTTATAATAGATCTTTCGGCATGCAAAAGAGGAAACAGTATAGGCATAGCCATACTTGGTACCTGTTCCAGAAAGTGTTTCTATTTTCGCTAATTAATACAAAAGTGCAGCCAAATTGTTTGTATCACCTTATTTTCACTTAACTCCAAAATTTTGTATATAAAATAGTGAAAAAAAAGTATATGACTATTGGTTATGGGTTCCAGTTATAAAATCAATCACTTGCAAATGCAAGGTAATACTGCCTAGTGCCTAAAATAGACCCCGAAATGGATCTGACCCTTCCCTGAACCTTGCTTTCTTGGAGGGAGTCTTGTAAAGCACGAGATTGTGTCTTTTCACTATTTTCTATACAAATGTATCTAAAAGTAAGAAATAAAGTGATATATTTTGTAATTAATAGTGAAAATGAAAAGTAAGAATAGAAAATATCCTCACATCCTCCTTTACCTACAAAGATGTCACCCATCTTCATTTTGTTTTCAAATTTCAAATATTTGGAACATAGTGAAATCAAATATTGTAGTGGTCTAAAACTACAACATGACATTAACTTGCATAGATCAACAAGATAATTTGTAATTTAAATACATTATCATAAAGCACAGTGAATGTTACCTTAGCTATTTTCACAAGCTGGTCATGGTTATCATGACCATAAAAGAACGGTTCCTTCCGAAAAATCTGCATAAAGTAAAATATCACAGCCCGGAATTTGATGATTTTTCACATGTAGAATAAAAAATAGAAATCATACAGAAATAACAACAAAGACACTTGCTATAATTCTTACCATTCCAGCAAACATGCAACCAAGGCTCCACATGTCCAATGAGTAATCATAGTCTTGCAAATCAACTAGAAGTTCAGGACCCTTAAAGTATCTAAGAAAGAAAACATAGCGTTTTTATGGACAGTGTCATTCAAAAACATGAAAAACCATAAGTCACCCTCACATAGCAATTGCATAAAAGTCTCGGAAAAATTTACACAATGGATTTTTTACGTCAAGCTTATACCTAACTAACAAATATATGCAATAGAAAACAAAACTAGAAAAACAAATGGACTGTGACACTTAAGTTAATGCTTGGCCTGGGAAGAAGCTAAAACTGTTTATATGATTGTGGGGCCCAAAACATGATACTAAGGAGAGTTGACAGCAGAGTGTCAATCCCGGATAACGGCACAGAGTGGCCGAACCCAAAAATTAGATAGCGGATAGGATAGTGGGATGACCGCTATTTGATAGATATTATACAAATTACATGAATAGAATCATACATATTCATAAAAAATATTATACAAATACAGATGAAAATTAAAAAACAGTAAAAAAAGAGGAATGAGATCAACAAATAACAAGAGAGAAAACAAGAGTTAGAAAAAACAGATTAAAAAAGAAGTTAGGGAAATGAGAAAAAAAAAACATAGGGAAAGAAAGGAAAGATGATGAAGGAGGAGAAGTAGAAAGAAAACGAAAGGAAACTACTAGGGTTTAACTTAATATTTTAAGGGGTTTTGGTTTTTCCATCCCAAAATTCTTGGATCTGAGATTCTTATTTCTCCCTTCTGCATAACAGCTCTCCCACATGAAAAATGATGACTACTTTTTGAGCTTTTCATAAACTCAGCATGGCCTGATAGGCTTAAGTGTAACATCCAGCAGAGAATTTTATTTTTGAATGTGTTTATGTAGGCTCAAAATGAAGCACAACAAAGAAATCAAGTTAGGCCAAAAACATGACCCATGTAATTCTGCAAAACAGGTGGCACCCTTTAGATGAACTAAACCAATCCAAACTGGAGTACAATAAGTTTCAGGGAAAAAGGAAATCTAATTATAGTCGGTGAAAGTTGAGACTGTAAGATTGAACAAAAAATATACCAGAAAATTTAATTGTTCAACTAACATTTTATGAGTGCCTCACAAGAAACTTGAAATAAAAAGCCCAAGAAATGAGAGTCATAATATGATCAAATAGGGTGATGTATTCATACACAAGGCGGATTGATTTTGGAATTCGTAACACTTATCTAGCATAAATCTGGTGGAGTGATTAACCAAAACCTTGGTGTAATTCTCAAATGCCAATGTTTAGTAGTAGAAATAGCAATAGTAGCCATATCTCAATAGACAAAGAAGGGAATCACTTTGACAATTGTATTTTATTCAAGAGAATTGTGGTTCTAACATTTGATTTACAAAGCATTGTTCATGTTTCACATTTTTATAATAATATTTGTGGATATATAGAAACTTGGCAAGCAAACATTCTAATAACCTATTGTTAGTGGAAAATTCTTGCTTAAACAAGCTAATGATACTTTACTGTTTTTGCTGTATATTGTGTATAAAATCAATTATTAACTATCATTATACACAGGCTCATCCCTTTACATAACTTTCTCGGGTGTTTAATAGTAGAGTCAAGACTCAAGTTGATTGATTAGAAAACATTACCTTGAAGCCACACGGACATTATATTCCTTTCCAGGATGATAAAATTCAGCAAGACCCCAATCTATCAAGCGGAGTTTTCGCAATTCATGATCTATCATAACATTGTGTGGTTTGACATCTCTATGCATTATGCCTTGAGAATGGCAGTAATCCAAAGCCTGCAATTCAAAACTACAACATTCATGTAACAAGAAAAGGTTCTCAATACGTCTTTGCACAGATATATGAAGTAACAATTTTAATGATGCATGAGCAAAAACCTATACATGTCAATCATATACAAAGTTTATACAGGCCTAATCCAGGAGAAAACTACGCTCATTACTGAGTTAAAACATATTTGTTTGTCATAGAAAGAACCTAGAGTACAGCAGGGTAAGTATACCAAGAGAGGTTGAAAGACATTGTTACCTTAAGAAGCTCATATATGTAATAGCGTATGTCATAATCAGTCAAGGTTGGATACAAAACTTTAAAGTCTGTACTGTTGACATACTCAAATATTAAGCTTGGAGTTTTAGAGTGCTGATCTCTGACAATGTCAAGAAGCTTGACAATATTTGGGCCCCCACAAAGGTTCTGAAGTATTTTTATCTCTCTTTTAATCTGCAAAATAGTGTTTTAACACTCATAAGTTAATACAAAAATCACACATGAAACTGCACACATCAAAAATGAAATATTAAAGCTAGCACGAGGCTTCAACTATGTCTTAATGCATTTACAAAGGCTCTGTGGAATATGGAAGATATTATTGAATCCAAAATTTTGCGTAGCCTTTCCTATTCAAACAATTGGAATCAAATGTGTTTTTGTTCATGGCTTTATTGATTCATAATTTCATATCACCTACTGGAATGGTGGTTTGGAGCTAGCACAATTTGACTTGAACAATTCCCACATGTAATTTCAAAAATAGGATTTGCAGAATCTGTTTGCTATACAAGAACCACATCATTTTCTACTTGGCTTAATGTATAAATTTTACCATTTCGTTTAAAAGAAAATTACACACTGTCTTATGATGAACTTGTTACTTTTTATTTTAGAAATAAATGTTACACAACTGATATTCTGCAAAGTAGTCCAGTTGTTATCCAATACAATGAAGATTATGAAGAAACAAACATATATTAGAAATTTGTATGTAAATAATAGTACTATTTGTGCAGCAAACTGATTTTATTCACTCTCCAGGTCCTACAAAAAAAGCTAAAAGCACATCAATGTAACAACAAAAAAGTTGACCTTCTTTTTCTTGACAGGCTTGAGAATCTTGATAACACATCGCTCATTGCTGTTCACATTCACGCCTTCAAACACCTCACTATATTTCCCCCTTCCCACTTTCCTTACAACCTCGTAATCATCTTGATCACTGAAAACAGCAGACATAACATTAATCAATAATATTCATATGATTCTTGACACAGAAAACTGCAGGGCAATAGATCCAATCAGAATGATGATAAATATATCAAAAATTCGTATCCCTCGTTTATAATTCACATAGAAACATTACAAAAAATGACCTAAATATTTTCGCACATCAACAAATTCAAAAAGAAAACAAACAAAAGAGCAAACACAATCTCAGAAACTAACACCGCGCACGAATTCATAACCTAATCGAGTTCGTAAACCTAATCGAAGCAAACGATACAAACGAAAACGAGATTCGAAAAGAAAGAAAAAGAAATTAGGGTTTGAAAGATTACCCCCATTGAACAGTGAGAGATTCATAATCCCAATACTCTTTGGGGCGAATAACATTGACATCGGTGTAGACGCGAGCTTTGGACATTTCGTTGGGATTGGAATCTGAGATCTGAGCTTTGTGGTGGTGATGATAAACGATAGTGGTGCTATTAGATTCGATGGATTGGTTAGGGATGCGCACGTTAGGAGGTTGCGCAACCGGCGTACGTAAGGTGAGAATGGTGCACACTAGCAACAAGCGGAGGAGTAGTGTTTGCTGGAGATTCGTGCGCATATTTAACGCGTGTATTATTGGGATAGTTAGATTTTGACATTCTGTTTTTTAATTTTATTTTAAAAAATTAATAATAATAAAATTAAAATAAGGTCAAAATAGTAACACTATCACCTCCCAATTTAGAATGAGATTTTGAGATTTCGCGAATCATCATTGTCTCTGATTCCACAAAGCACTTAATTTTTTTGAGATGAAATGAAAAGCACTTATTTATGGGTGCGTAAAATGAATTTACCGTTGTGGAACAACTAATGTAAATAGGGAATGGCCACAAATGCTAGGGATTTTGGGGTGCACCATATGCTGTGTAGTACGTATTATGATTATGATTAATCTAAAGTTAAAAATGTGGTCTGTTTTTTTTCCACAGAGGAAGATGTGGTCCATTGCTAATCACCTATAAAAATGAGGTGGAATCTGCAAAATATTTCAATTGTGATTTGTTAATTATTTGTCTTTTTGCTTTCTAATAAGTACCGTATGTTTTAGATTTAAAAAATACTTTTTTTTAGTATTTTCTAAATTGAGTTTTATAAAAACTTTTCTAAAATACTTGTCTTGTTAGAAAATAAATAATCTTAGGTGAAACGATAGAGTAGAGTCTTGATACTGTTAAGTGGATCTCAAATACGATGGCGTGTGGATGGATTTGTAAGGTCAATACTTCACAGTCTAAGTCGGTAAAAAAAATGTTATGGGTTTCAGAGAGATATCTCATGTCTCATGTTAGATTTCTTATATATAAACGACAATTACAGATGTTCTCTATCATATCGGCGTGGAATACGAGACACTGCTCGATCATTATTGGACATGTGACTCCATCCACAAAAGGGGATGAATAATGAAGGTTTGAAAATAGTTGATTTAAAACAAATTTATTTTCTAAATTATAGTTTAAAATCATTTTATAAAAACATTTGAAAATGTAGCAGAAATTCAGGTAAATAATAGGAAAATAAAACAGATAAAGGAAAAGAGATAACACTAGAGAATTATACAGGTTGTGTCAAGAAGACTTGATCTTGTTAGCAATAATTGTTCTTGAGAGTATCCATTATGCTTGAGAGTTTTTAGAAGGTTATTCCCATGAACCCTCTTATACAAGAAAATGAAGTTTCAAGTTAACTTCTAACTAAACAACGAACAATGGATTAAGCAATTAGTCTTCACACCAAACATAGACTTTGCACAAGGTAATCTCAAACCAGTATAGAGTTTTGAGTTGGCTATCCTTTAAACCGAACTAGGGTTTTATATTTGTTGACCAGTAATCGGATCAAGATTTGTACCGAGATGATCTTGAATCTACTGAGTTTTTATAGCGGTTGAACTCAAAAACTTAGTGAAATTTTACATTAGACTGATCTTGAACCAATAGAGCTTGTAATCATATGGAGCTCAAGAATCGTTGTGTATATTTTAATCATACGGAGCTCAAGAATCGGTAAGGTGTCGTTACCATCCCGTAACTTTGATGATGTGTGGTATTTGTTTAGTTTTATATCCTTCATATAACTATTATGCCGTAAATTTATGATACGATTCTGTTGGTTGTGCTGGTTCGATTTATGTCAAATATATGTTAAATTCTGTGTAATTGTGTTTCTTGTTTGTGTCAGGACTTCTTTTGAATTATCGTGTGAGATTGCCTTTCGTTGATGTATGTGGAAGTTTGTTATCACGTCACTTTGTTTCGAATTCGATTTAAATCGACATCACGTTAGTATATTCATTTTGCTTTTGATTGAAGTGTGATGATCGATGTGCATACTATGTTGCCTTTTCTATTGCGTTGCAATTTCAAAGTTTAGATTTAATTTGGATTTTGAAAACCGCACGAGCACATATATTTGAATCCTTTGATTCGATTTATGTCGATTCCATGACATTATTTTGATTGATTCTAATTTTGATTGTTATGTTGCGATGCTCGAATCGACTTAAAAGAGATTTTAGTTGCATTTAGTTTCATTTGAGCTTGGATTTGAATGTGGAATGTGGGTGTCATATCTTTGGTTTTCTGGTTGCGTCTGAGCATTTTTTAGATGAATTTCGGAGCATTATTCCGTTCATATAGTTGCTTCCCGGATCTAGTGTAATTGGATAAATCATGTTTTGAAATCAACTTTCCATGTTTTGAAATCAATTTAGAATAATGGCATGAGTTGTAACTTTGGTTTTCATATTTGATTTGAAACTTTTGAATAATCATGATCAAGTTTTTTGGATCCGTTTGGAACGAGAAGTGTGTGTCTTATTTTATTGTAGTGTCTTATTGCTTGAATCATTTTGAAAGAGATGTTGATGGCATTCTTGTTTCTTTCGTTTTGAATTTGAACGGATATTTCGTTCATGGCATTACTTTTCTATTCTCTCTTGCTTGAACATGCCTAAAACAAAATTATTGGAATATATGTGCTTGTTCTAGTGGTTGCCCGATTCTTATTTAATTGATTGAGTCTTTTGGGGCATTATTAAGTTTACGTAGTGGCTTCTCGAATAATGGTTTAGGCGTTTAGACCTTGTGTTAAGCTTGATTTTTCATGTATGGATTTGAGTAGTGGCATGAGTTTTGGATTCCGGTTTCCGTTATGGATTGAGATCATGATAATTTTTTACTTTACTTGATTAAAAGTGTTTAGAACCATGTATGCTTTGCTGATTTTTTTGAGCCTGCCATTGATAATAACATGATTTCTTGACTTTGAATATGCTTGAAACAATATACGTAATGCTAATTTTTGTGTTTACATTGAATAATAACATGATTTCTTGGTTCTTTATTGAAAATATTCATTTGTTCATACAATTCAATTCAAGTTTCATTTGCTTTTAAATTTCTCTTGTGATTACTAACTTGTCTATTGTTTGTGAAGGCTTTCAAGATAGCTCATATATTCATTTCATCTTGACACCACTTTGTTGCTTTAGTTAATTAACTAAAAGTTGATTTAGTTATTTAATTTCGTTATTAAAAATTAATTAGTTTCGACTAATTAATTTTTCTTAACTTAATTAATTAACCTAATAAACTTTTAAGTTAATTAATTAAGCATTCATTCTAGATTTCATTTGTTTCATTTAGCTCTGATACAGGTTTCTAATCCACTTGGACCTGAACTCTTATTTCACATGAGACTTTGATTTATTTCTCTGTTATCCTGCTTTTTCTATTTGTTGGGAATTTCATATGATACAGGGATTCTTATCTGATGCTTTGAGCTTTATTTGATGCTACGAGTTTTATCTAATGCCTTGGATTTCTCTGATATTATTTGCTTGTGATTTATTTTCACGTGATACCTAGTATACTATTGGCTTATTTATTTGCCTGTGACTTTAATCTAAAGTATGGGAATTCTTATTGGCTTCATTATGTCAAGTGTCAGCTTCCTTTTGGTCAGGCGTTCCTTACTTTACTTATCTTTTATTTTCTTGTATATAGGATAGTCTCTTCATATCGTATCCCGTTTAATTTTCAAAACCTTCTCATCTTTTTCAAAACCTTCTTTATTTTCAAACTTTAACTGCTTTCATAATAAACCTCGATTATGTCGAGTGACTTTTCAAACTTCTTTTTCTTAATCAAAACTCAAAAACACTTAATAAATTTGGTATGTACAAATACGCTATGAGCCTTAAGCACATGTGGAGTACTTTAGATACAAGGCGTCTAACTCGATCATTCAAAATCCTATCATGTCATAGACTTTAGTATTGTACTTATCTCAAACACTTTCAAAAAGATTAAAAAACATCTAATCTCATTCAAACCCTTTTGTTCCTTCGTTCACCTTTTCCTTTTAAAACCTTTTTCAAGATCAGACACGATTCATTTATAATCAATATGTTATTCCTCTATCCTCATGGTTGTCGAATTTTCCACTTGAGTACTAGAGATGTTTTCAAACCCTCCCTCATATTGGTACGTAGTCTCTCTTTCTCATACCTTATAGGTGTTTAGACGAGTCTTCTCCTTAAAAATGATAACTTGTCCATTCTTTTAAAATCAATCAACATATTAAGTTTTATTCTTTTTCAGAAGAACTACGAGTCCCCTGATCTCTTATTGCACGAAGGGGGTACGCAGGCATAAAGATTTACAACTGAGGTGGGTGCAATAAAAAAAAATTATTTTGTTTCTTTAATAACTCTTTCGTTCATTCCCTTCAGCAAGTAAGTCTTTAGATAACACACTTTTTGATAAGAACAAACAAAGTGGATCCTGCGGAGTATCGTAGATGCTTAGGGTGCTAATATCTTCCCTTTTCATAACCGACCCCCGTACCTTGATCTCTATTTTATTTTACTTTGGGTTTTATTCGCTCTTTTCCCATTTCCCTTTGGAAATAATAAAGTGCGATGGCGACTTCATTGTGTGAGTTAAGTCAATTAATGGCTTAGTCTCAAATTTTTACCGCTACATTTTCGCATACAGTGTTATTGTACCCCAAAATTTGCCCTCTCATTTCTCAAGGATTCTCTCACAAGATCTTCCATGACATCAATTTAGGTTTGAAATTGGCACAAGGGCAAAATGGTCAAAATGCACATTAAAAAGTCAAACTTTGACTTTTGGATCAAAATCAAGTTTCAAGAATCATATTTCATCAAGACATGTTAGAATTTGAAGTTTGTTTCATCAAGAAAGTAAAAGTCAAATTTGCTTTGGAAAAGTCAAAATTCTAAACACTTAGAGATTTTCTAGGTGTTAAGAAAATATGATAAGTTCAGAACTTCTTGCCAGATTTTCACCATGATGCAAGTTGATTCTGGAAGAACCTCTGACATAAGAGTTGTAGATTTCAACGAAATCTAAAACATTGCAAAACAAAACTTCTCTTAGAAATGTTGGGATTTCAAGTTATAAATCTTCAAAGACACGTCCATGAAACTGCGACACTCAGTAAATTCTAGGCATTTCCAAGACAGAATTTGGTTAGAACTTTTGGGCCAATTTTCATGTAGGTCCAATCAGAATTTGTAAGAGTAAT